CTCAAAGAAACAACGTGAAGTTGATAATATTCTGGCTTGACTTACTGATGCATAAACAGTATCGAACGATTTTGAGAGAAAGATTAACTAACCTGTCTTCTGCCCGTTTGGACCATACAAAACTTTGGGAGTTGAGTCGGCGCATTTCCAGAGAAAATAAAATTAACCAATTGTTTCTTCAGAGGCTCGGAAGAAGGAACTAAAAAACACTTTTGTGTTCATTTGTACATCCGAACACTGAGCAACTGCCATGCTTCGCTCGTTTGCAAGCCATGATATTTATAGAGGAAAAACTCAAATATCAAATCTAGGGGAAAAAAAGCCTGCGCGTGTTCGTACTTCCGGTTCCTAGCTCTTTTTCTCATGGTCGGTCTCTGGGCATGCAAAGCAGAGAAAGGGGAGTAACCTTTCTCCTATATGACGTTATTTAGGGGGAGATTCTAGATCAGCGCGTCTGAGATGCAGACGGATGCAGAGAAGAGAAAAATAGCCAAAGCTTGGTTTACACCGATTGAAAATTGTAGACACGAGGGGACCAAATACAGTCTAGGGGAACTCATTAATGTTAAAAAACCTCAGAAAATGAACATTTCATGTCAGGGGACCTTTAATCTAATCATACTAGGAGCAAAATTGGTCAAAATTTTATTTGAAAGAGAGGATAAGAATGCAGTAAAGAATAAAGGCATATGGAATTATCTGTTTGAATGTCATCATTTTATGAGCAGTGAATATTAACAAAAATGGATTAGATCTCTGATCATTTAATGCTTGAAACATATATGACATAACCAGTGGGTGGAGTGGAGGAGCAGCCTCCTTGTTGCTAATATGCTTGTGGAGAACTTGGACTTAACTGCAAATACATTACTCAGTCAACATAAAAGTATTATGCATTCCCTAAAAATAGTCCTGAAGCATGTAAAATGTCAATTCTGGTGGGGGTCAATAGTCTTCTTTAGAGCACAGCTTATGATAAGATGTTTTTATTATCATCCTGAACCAATATCATCGCTTAACTCAGAAATAGTATAAGTAACCTGTATTATACGATTTATGTAGAGTGCTTTACATGTTTTTTTAAAAAAAAAAATTATATTTTTTTTAGGGGATCAGGTGCTAGTTTACACTAGTGCTCAGCCTTTACATACAGTATTCAAAGCATGCATTCTATTTTGTGTCTGATGTTTTTGTGTTTTGTGTTTTGTCTTTTGTTTTATTTTATACTGTAAGCTGATACTGTAAGCTATATATATATATATATCCTATGTTTTTGGATTTTGCAAAAAATGTTCAGGATATGTACTAGCGCAACGTTGAACAGCAAATTAATTCATCAAATGTATTTATCAAATTAGGAAAATATAATATAAGAATAATAATAATTAAAGCTGCAAGCAGCATTTAGCGGGGTTCAAGCAGTTTAGGCCTTTAAGGCCTTTAAGCACAAAAGCATCAAAAGACATTAAGGTTTAAGTTTCAATAATGGCAATTTACCATAGGGTATCCATTGTTTTAACATTTTTAAAAATTTTAGCGCCACCTATAGTCCGATCTCCATGAAACTTTGCATGCTTGTTGAATAAGTTATGACACATGTGCTCATCAATTTTTGTGAAGTTCTGACTTTCCTGTAGGATTTTTAGCTTTTTATAGGCTTTTGGGTGCATTTTGTCCCTCTTTTTGTAAATTACCCTGTGAAAGCAAAACAAATAACAAAAATTCAACTTTTTTTGATAATTATTGATCTAGAGAGTCCAAAGAATTGTCCTAGACTGGTCCGGTTCCGATCGGGCAAAAAACCAGGGACTAGTTCACAAAAATAGGTTTTTAACATATTCGTGAATATTTAACGAACGATTTGATTGACAGCAATGGTTCTGGAGGCAAAGTTGTTCATCATGAGGAGATCTATCAAATGAATAGCATTTCGTGGGGATGTGCGCAACACCACGTGATTACAGAGCCATAAACTCGTTAGCGCCAACTAGTGGCCGATTTCTTTCAATATTGTTACAGACCTCTAAGGCCATGAGTCGAACATACCCAACGAGTTTCGTTCCGATCGGCCTTCGTTAACCTTGTTTCATGGTGGTCAAACTTCCTTGGTTGATGGCGGCCATGTTGTTTGAGATATACCAATGTCCTCATCCAAATACACGGGGCCTTAGACCAAGACACTGCATACCAATTTTCAAGTCAATCGGACTAACGGTCAGGTGGTTATGTGTTTTTTTTCATTTTATAGCGCCACCTAGTGTTCAATCGTCGCGATTTTTTTACTGTGACCCTCAAATTGAACTCTTAAACATGTGTACCTAGTTTGGTGAAGATATCTCATTTACTTCTTGAGTTATAGCCATTTTAGTAAAATAGGCTCCTCTCACAACGTTTATTTTGCGCCCCCTAGCAATGGGAAAGAGACTTTTTCAACATTTTTTTGATAATTATTGATCTTCAGACTCCAGAGAACATTCCTGCACTGGTTTGGTTCCGATCGGCGCAAAAACCAGGGACTAGTTCGCAAAAGTAGTTTTTCGACAAAAATTCAAAATGGCGGAAAAATTTCCATACCGGAAATGAAATCGGAGATAAACGTTTTTTTCGTCAGGTGACCAGCTTTCCAATGATATAAGACACTTGAGTGTACGACTTACGGTCTAGGAGTTATGAGCCGTTTCGCGCAATTGGTCGCTATAGCGCCACCTATGGGCCAATCGGGCTCATAATTTGATAACCTCTCCTCGATTTTTGTACTACCATCTGACAAAGTTTCAGAGCTCTAGCCCTTACGGTTTGGGCTGCACGATGCGTTTTAGGGGAGAATAATAATAATTAAAGCTGCAAGCAGCATTTAGCGGGGTTCAAGCAGTTTAGGCCTTTAAGGCCTTTAAGCACAAAAGCATCAAAAGACATTAAGTTTTAAGTTTTAATAATGGCAATTTACTATAGGGTATACATTGTTTTTAATATTTTTAACAATTATAGCGCCACCTATAGTCCGATCTCCATGAAACTTTGCATGCTTGTTGAATACGTTATGACACATATGCTCATCAATTTTTGTGAAGTTCTGACTTTTCCTTTAGGATTTATAGGCTTTTGGGTGCATTTTGTCATGCCCCCTTTTTTAAATGACCCTGTTATAGCAAAACAAATGACAAAGTTCAACTTTTTTGATAATTATTGATCTAGAGAGTCCAAAGAATTGTCCCAGACTGGTCTGGTTCCGATCGGCAAAAAACCAGGGACTAGTTCGCAAAAGTACGTTTTAACATATTCGTGAATATTTAACGAACGATTTGATTGACAGCAATGGTTCTTGAGGCAAAGTTGTTCAGCATGAGGAGATCTATCAATTGATATACATATTGTGGGGGTGTGTGCAACACCACGTGATAACAGAGCCATAAAACTCGTTAGCGCCAACTAGTGGCCGATTTCTTTCAAAATTCTTACAGACCTCTAGGGCCATGAGTCAAACATGCCCAACGAGTTTCGTTCCGATCGGCCTTCGTTAACCTTGTTTATAGGTGCTCAAAGTTCATTGGCCGATGGCGGCCATGTTTTTTGAGATACACCAATGTCCTCATACACATACATGGGGCCTTGGACAAAGACACTGCATACCAATTTTCAAGTCAATCGGACTAACGGTCATGTGGTCATAGCCCTTTTTATGTTTTTTTTCATGTTATAGCGCCACCTAGTGTTCAATCGTCGCTATTTTTTACTGTGACCTCAAATTGAACTCGTACACATGTGTACCGAGTTTGGTGAAGATATCTCATTTACTTCTTGAGTTATAGCCAATTTAGTAAAATAGGCTCCTCCCACAACGTTTATTTTGCTTCCCTAGCGACCGGAAATAGAAATTTCAACATTTTTTTGATAATTATTGATCTTCAGACTCCAGAGAACATTTCTGCACTGGTTTGGTTCCGATCGGGCAAAAAACCAGGGACTAGTTCGCAAAAGTAGTTTTTTCGACAAAATTCAAAATGGCGGAAAAATTTCCATACCGGAAATGAAATCGGAGATATACGTTTTTTTCGTCAGGTGACCAGCTTTCCAATGATATAAGACACTTGAGTGTACGACTTACGGTCTAGGAGTTATGAGCCGTTTCGCGCAATTGGTCGCTATAGCGCCACCTATGGGCCAATCGGGCTCATAATTTGATAACCTCTCCTCGATTTTTGTACTACCATCTGACAAAGTTTCAGAGCTCTAGCCCTTACGGTTTGGGCTGCACGATGCGTTTTAGGGGAGAATAATAATAATAATAATAAAAATCAATACAATTACAATAGGGTTTCAGCACTTCGTGCTTGAACCCCTAATAATAATAAAAATCAATACAATTACAATAGGGTTTCAGCACTTCGTGCTTGAACCCCTAAAAATAGGAATTGGTCGATTGTTTTTTTTGCAGCGAACACAACACTACAGCAATGTAGCAATGTAAACAACACCTTCAATAGCCTACAATGCGACACCTCAACCTCGTCACCATCAACAATACTATCGACACAAGACAACACAAACATTCAGAATAATGCTCGAAATTTAATGATATATAGTAGGCCTATAATAGTATTTCATATCGATGAATCCATATGATCCAAAAACAAATGTTTTTCTTCTTTTTTTGCTTAAGGTACATCGCTAAGGTAAGAGGAGCTGCTCTTATTCAAATCATCATCACTCGCAGCGATGGAAATGGCACTCCAAGGACGAAGATTTGACATCGCCAAGGTGCCTAGATAAAACATGCGCATTCCCTAATCGAATTGACGGCGTAAAAGCGTTTTAATTATAAGTGAATGATACGATGTCGATGAGGATCACAAGCTCTTCAATCAAAATATTCGATCCATTCACAATGAACGGCGCGCAAGCGAAGCCTTCGCAAATAGGTTAAGCCGCTCTCTAAAACATCTATCACAATAATCCGAGTCGAAGAACAAAACAGAAAACGATTACATACAGTTACAAACCTTTGCTTTCTTCCCTTTCATCTTGATTCTCCTCAGCCGTCGATTCTGGCTTCATCCCATCCATTTGGAAAATAATATTTTGAATATTCCCTATGCCTGGTCTCTCTCGCTCCAATACAGGAGTATATCGCAGCCACCTCAAATATTTTTTCAGATCGGATATCGCTTCGATAACTTGTTCATAAACGATAAGAGCTCAGCCGAAGAGGGTCTCACGTAAAGGCTTAGAGAAAACTATAGCTTTTAGCAGATAGGCTGAGGAGATCCGTAAGAAGGAGAGGAAAAAACAGCCACTCCACTGCCAGTCAGGTTGACATAAACAGATCGTCCCAGCTGTAAACAGTCACACATGCTCTCTCGCTCTCTCTCTCTCTCTCTCTCTCTCTCTCTCTCTCTCTCTCTCTCTCTCTCTCTCTCTCTCTCTCTCTCTCTCTCTCCGAAATGATGGGAGGACAGAAATGAATAAACAGTAGCCTACTTATTAAGACAGTCACAAAGATGAAACTGATGATAAAATAATAAGTGTGTGCTAAGAGGCACAAAACACGCTTCAACAATTATTTTATTCCAAACATCCACATTTAGATGGTATGCTTGGGTTTTATAATAATAATAATAATAATAATAATAATAAAAGAATACAATGGTCCAGCAAAGAAATGCCATCTGTCTGGAATCCTCTTAAACAGTATTAATTCTTATGCATGACCTTCTGCTGCATACTGGTATAACTGTCTGGGAAAGAGAGCACACTAAATGCCATCTCTATCATTACCATTTAAGGATTGAGTCTTAAAAACCCAGAGAGTATGAGGTTGTATTTCAACAGTCTACTTGGTAAAAAGCAGACATGAGGAGTATCACATCTTTATTCTGAAAGAGGTGTCACACCATAGTTTATAATAATGAACGTATGCTTGATTGGACGCAACATGATTTTATGTTTGTGATATATGCAGTAAAATGACTTGACCTTATGATGACCTTAACTAATGATGGATTTTGATGTATCAGTCAAGATGTTACACACATTGCTCATATGCTGTGTTTGTTAAACATTTAATCTGCAGTTTTATCTTAATGATTATTTATTTTACAGTATTTCAGAACTAATTGGTTTTAGTCTCATACTGATGCAGGATGCATTATGCTTTTAAACACTTTCCCAGACCATTACCATAAAAAAAAAAAAAAAAAAAAAAAAAAAAAAAACTGAAAAAGGCATAAAGAGATTACTATCCACCTTCTCCAGGCATCAAACACACAGCAAGGAAAGGAATGCGAGTGGTAGTGGATGTGCTGTAAACAATCTCATACTTCTGGAAGCAGTTTAGAGTTCTTACCTCCTTTAAAGTGTCACAATTTACAAGCAATATTAGAATTAAATATATGCAGAGTTTGTGTTAACAAATTTGAGCCCAGAAAGTTAATCGTTAACTTCCTGGAGGGAAACAACAAACGGTCCGCCAGGTTTGGTGGATGAGAAGAGAAGATCTTTATCTATGCCTCTGACTGGCATAGTGTATAGTGTATAATGAACTGTGTTGCATTTTGGGAACAAATCAGAAAATTAATTGTGTATTTTTTCATTTTCACTGAAAAATGTGTCATAACATGATTTCGTTTCAACAATAGTTTTTAGATTTGCACTAGGCCTAAATGTAAAATCTCAAAGGTGTCCCTTCTTTTATTTATTATATCTCATCACAAGTAACATTTAAGACTATTGGGGGGTGGAACCAAATAGAAACAAATGGAACACACTGGACCTTGTCATGAGGCGGAGCTCTCTTAAGAATCTCAGTGATGGTTTTTCTCTGACATACTACAATAATCTCAAAATTTGTAGGTCACCGTCACAGATTAAGTGTTTGTCTGGTAGATGAGAGATAGTGTCTGGCACAGTTTATCTTCTTATTACAAATAAACAAACAAACAAATAATAATTATTCAGCTGTTTTTACAAAAACACAAACATAGGCTATTATTTGTGTCAGAGATTTAGTATCTGATCATTATTATTTTTTATTTAGCAGATGGCAACCACAACACACTTTGGCCTAACTGAATACAAGAAGATTAACATTGAACACTTAAAACTAAATCAGTGGTACGATTCCCAAAAGCAATTTTAGCCAACTGGTCGCAAGTTCCATCATTAAACGTATTTCAACAATTCTGTATTTCCCGAAACCATAGTTTCAATGAACATTAGCAAACAGCATCACAAACTTGTGTGATTGGAATTACAGCTATAGCTCTCGACCTGTAAACTACAGCTCTCAACCTGTGGTATAATTTACTGTTATTATAATAAGTGCATGTGTAACTGTCACTAATAAAGTGTTAGCAGATTGTTGTTTGTTGCCTGTGTGAAGACGTTCACAGGAATACAATGTTTCTATTCAAAATGTTGCCTCCAGCACATCTATGTGTTTAGTTTATTCACACAGACACAATGCATTGGAGAGGTCTGTTCACACCAGGAATGGGCAACCAGCTGGACCATATCAGATCAGGATGTTAATTCTCCAACCAGAAGAGGGCGCTAGTTCCTGGCGAAGACCATAGTAATTAAAGCATTGTACACTGAAAAAAATGATTCTGAGTGCATGTAAATGTTACGTAGTTAAAATGTGTAATATTAACAATAAAATGTTACGTTTATATCTTTACATAATATATCTGGTTTTGAATTTATCTTCATTTGTTCAAAACACAAGACAATGTGCATATTATTACCTTACAAAATTAATCTAAGTAATCTCAGCCAATCTTTTTAGGCACATGCACTCAACAAACAATACCTTGTTTAATTTACTCAGTGCAAAAAATTACTCCCCTTCCTGTTTTTTGGTCTGGAAACCCCTTGCATTTCAAACGAAGAGGAAGCCTACACGTGGAGACTGAACTCAAGGTAAGAATAAAGTTAGAAAAGTAGGCTAACAATTAAGGTTACTTGGGTTTGTACATTCTTTACAGTGTTCCAATTGTTGTACAAAAATTAGGCTTTAAATGTAATTTGAAGATTGCTTTGTCGTACGTGGATTTTCTGTTAATTACCATGTGGCAACGCTGGGATTGCTTTATGTTGCTTTACGTGTAGTCTAACATTAATTGAAACTTTGCAAGTGGCCATAGAATGGTTTGTTCTAGTGTAATTTAAAGCCAGCGTTATAATCCAGCAATAAAATAATGTAATGTTAGTGCAAGCACGTGGATTTTTAGAGCAGCCATGAATAAATTAGGGTAACATCAATCGTTTTTTTCCCCCAACCTGGGCCTAATTTTATTCTTTAAAAAAATATGTATTTGTGTTTAAGTGACTGATGGGAACAACAATCTTTTAAATTGGCCAGGCTTAGACCGCTTCAGTGTGTAGATGCGAAAGAATTAACGTTAGGCCTAGGCAAATCGTATGTTAATATAATTGCGTTCTTTTACATCCACAAAACCTGCTTGTTTTGCCACTGACATGCTATTCTAAGTGTCTGACGACGTTACCTAAGATCGCGGACAGCTCCAGCGTTAAAATTAACTCGTTAAATCATTTTACTTGATCTAAAAACTGACTATCATATTAGAAAGATTTAAGATTCCAGCTTGGATATTTGGCCACTATTTATGACAAAACTGAGTTGCAATGACTTTCTGTCTTTCTTTCTTTTTTTTTCTTTTGTCAAATAGTGCAGATAACCATTATAATATCCTTATAATTTATTTGTGTTCACATAGATGGAATTGACGGCATCCGCGAATAACTCCAAACGTGGGCGCATTTTTAGAAATATTGATTTAGTTTGCGCGCTCTGTTTTTCTTCATGGTTGTGTAAAAGGTGTTTTTTTATACTTTATGGTTAGAGCGCTCATTGGGGTTTTTCAGCCGTCAATCATCTCGTGAACATAGTCCCGCCTTCAGAATGACGCGGTTCGCTGCACGCTTCCCCATCGGAGCTCCGAGGGAAAACAAACCCAAAGTAGGCTAACAATTAAACCGAAACTGAAGAAAATTTGCTTACTGATGAGCAGGTCAACTAATTGCAGTGTTGTGGAGAGAGTAAAATGTTAAACTATTTTTAATTAGGCTATAGTTGTAGTTACAATTTTTTGCCATGTTTTTGGTTTCTTGCATTGGTCAGTTAACTATAACACTGTGTCCTTACCAGGTGATCCTCCTGTCAAGTAGGCTACACTGGATAAAGGTTTGTAAATTTCTCTAAATTGGTTTATTGTAGTGAGAAAACTGGGGGTATAGTTATAATGTCAAATGGCAAAATTCCTGTTGTCCTGTTTATATAGAAAGTTTTAGTGTTCTTCAATACAGTACATGTGACACACTTACTCATGACCAGTGATGCTGGCATTTCTACAAAAAAAAAAAAAAATGACAAAAATAGTAATGCACAGTAACTTGGATAAGTAACTGAAATCTGAACACTTTTGTCAGTCAAAAGCAATAATGCGCTACTATTTCCAAAAACGTAATCAGATTAAATTTACTTATCCAAGTTACTGTGCGTTACTATTTTTGTCCTTTTCTTTAGTAGAAATGATGGCTGGTATTCGATATGAAACCGAAATTGCGACACTCCCTGTGTCACTGTGTGAGAAGGCAGAATCACAACACACCACTTCCAACTATCAGAGTTATCCTTCCCGTCCAGATCCAATGCTACCACATTTTTAAATTACTATTAGTATTCTTTGAAGTTAACATTATAAAATACATAGACCTACACCACACTGCACATTCTTCGAGCACATGCTTGCACAAATGTACATAAGTATATAGAACAAAACTACCACAGCACGTAATCCCACCAAGATTTCTGTTTAGAGCAAAGAGCTGTATGCATTCTTCACATTAGCAAACAAAAAGTAGGTTAAATTCTCTCTTGTATATTTCACAGTTTTGTGATGACGACGATTCTGCAGCCATCCAAGAGGACATCACTTCATTTGTACTCAACATGTTCGTGGTCACCAAAACCAGGGATGGAGGTCTCGAGAAGCAAGCTGGAATAGCCATCAAGGGAGAAGAGGTCCTTTTTGGAATTCCCAGTGTAGCACATGCTTGCACCTATACCTTATGGGCATTATTTATCCAAATAAACTAAAATACACCTTTGGAGGATGTTAACAAAAACATGCCCTCCAAAATCCAGCTTATGGCCTAAAAGTATGACAGACGTTGTTGTTTATAACTCTGTTTGGACTTTTTGGGACTTTGGCTTATTCACCATATCCCCCAGAGTTAAATAAGTCCACACATACCCTTCTCATCTCTGTGCGTGCCGTAACAGTCAGACGCACCCACTAGCCTAACTTAGCACAAAGACTGGAGGTAAACAGATCCAGCTAGCA